ATATAAAATATTCGACGAAACAGCCCCCTCTTACATATCAGACCTATTTTCTTTTAACACAAAATTATATCGTCGTCTTAATTTACGGATCCTATATACAACTTTTTTTCCAAAAACATAGCTTCGCCTACTCTGGTTCTATTATATGGAACAATCTTCCTAACAAAATAAAACTATCTAGATCTGAAAATATACTCAAATCTAAACTGAAACAACAATTATTTAATGACCTCACTAACTGACTCATTGAAACAATTCTCATTCATCTAGAGCAGGGGTCTCCAAACTACGGCCCGCGGGCCGGATGCGGACCGCGAGTTCCTCTCATCCGGCCCGCGGACCGCGGAGATCTTTTTATCCACTGAAAAAAACGTTTGTTGAAGTTGGCTGAGGAACTTGCTCAGAAAGTCACGAAAATGCCTAGAAGAAACTGGCCCCCGAACTGAAATTTGATAGTTAATGTGGCCCCAGGACTGAAAAGTTTGGAGACCCCTGATCTAGAGAATCTATTATATTCTTATTTTATGTTGGCTGGTACTCTATGGTTTGCTTGTTATTTTAAATAGTTGTCACAGGTTGCTTGTTTTTTGTGTAGTTGTATTCTTGGTTGGTAGTAGCTGGATGGGGGTTAATGTTTCCCCCACCCCTAAACGACAGGACGGCGCCCGGTTCTCACGGGCGGGGTCTGCTAGTGTGTCAAGATTAATTTACGAGTGTTCGTAGTCGTGGACTGTGGCCGGAGACCGACTTGACCGGACTCTAGGTGTGTGCATGCATTGTGTTTCGATTTTATGTCCTGTCTACCCAGTGTCTGTCTCCTTAAATTTACGAGCGTAAGCTCGCCACTGCCAGTTGGGGTCAGCAGATGGTTTGAAAGTATGGGAAAAGGTTTGGTTGGATGTAGGCTATTGTAACGTTTTTACTGCTCTCAAAATGTGCTGTTCTATTGTAATATTCTTGCTACTATCAAATGTAACGTTTTTCTTCTCTTCTATTCTCACTCTCAGTCACAGACGATCAAGAATGAAGAATAAGCCGTCTTCTGCAAATCTTTTTTTGACTATCTTTCTTGACCGGGAATTGTCTGTGTAGCGCGCATCTAACAAGACTATAGCGCCAATACGTGTGCTGCATAAAGTACTGGCTAGGGCCGTCATTTCTCCACCCCCTCTAGAAAGTTTCTTTGAACATGAACGACTGTCCAGGTCTTATGTGTAATGTTTCACACACACACACACACACACACACATATATATATATATATATATATATATATATATATATATATATATATATATATATATATATATATATATATATATATATATATATATTTGACGTCACAAAGATAAATAAATGCATATTATGTATGTTTACCATGTTTTATTTTTAGTTTAATATTGGTGTTATATAGATGTAAATTAGTTTCGCTTAGGTCTATTAGACCCCTTTGTCACCACGCAAAGGTGCACGGATTTGAGAAAATAATTCCCAATGCCATCATACCATCTCTCTCTCTCTCTCTCTCTCTCTCTCTACCAATCAGTTAAAAAAACAACCCCTACGTTACACTTATCTCATCTTGTATTATAACTATGTAATATTATTTCTTTATTCCACATTTTTAGTGCTATGTTACTGCTATGTCGTTACTATGCTATAGCTTTTTTAAATGCTGTTATTAAATTGTTGTTTTATTTGTTTATTTTAAAAACGGCCAATGTGAAAAAAGGCCTCCGTGCCTACTATTGTTACCGTAATTGAATAAATAAATAAATAAATAAACTTCTGAATTTAGAATTTCTTTTTTTTTCCTACACAGGTTTCAGGAATGGATTCGTTAAAAGTAGCTGTGCGTGTTCGTCCACTACTTTCAGGGTGAGTATTTTGAAAATGGCTTAAATATTATAGATCTAGACTGAAATATTTTCTTGAAAGTGTACAGTAAAAAAAATCTTTTTTTTATTAATAGGGTTTTTGGAAACAGACTAGATTGTTTTGAGTTTATTAGCCATTACAGATTCCCTTCCCACCTGTATAGCTAGCAAGCAGCCTACTACCCATTAGATTAGGCCCTCTTTAGCTTTAAAGTATAATGTTATAATTTAAATAGTACAGAGGAGAAAAAAAACTGTTGGTAGTAGTAATTAAATATTTTCTGTTTAGAATTTAATTTAAATATGTTGTCAGTGTTTAAATAGTGTAATCAGTCATTAGGTTAATAGGCTTGCCCGTTTATGTTTATAGCCCTTGTAATTTTTTTTAATAGGGAGAAGTCTTTAGGTTTAAAAGAACGATGGATTTGCACCAATTCATCAATCACTTTAGATCAGTCAAATACTTGTTATGTATTTGGTAAGTCATTAACAATTAACTTCTAATAAAATATACCAGTGACAAATTATATCTCACATTTATTCAACTCATTGGTAATATTTTTAAATTAATACAGACCAAGTCTTCAGTGAGCAAATATCAAGTTCCACAGTATATAATGAAATGGCGTTAGATATTGTGAAACAGACCATGGTATGTAACAAGACATTCACTAGTTGGCTACATACAAAAAGTTGTATTGATCAAAAATACTCTTTACATACACAGAAATAGCATTATATATGTTTACTAAAACTTCTATGAGATTCCTGTATTTCACTTTTGTTAATTGTTCATTCTCACTTTTTAGGTACGATATTTACCTATGGTCAGTCTGGCAGTGGAAAGACATATACTCTCGATGCATTGCGAACATTTGCCATCAAAACTATTTATGAATACATTGAAAATGTATGTATACCTTTAACAAGCTGCATGTTACATTCTTGCTTATTTTCCTGTTGCCTATGAGTAAATATTAAAAACTTGCAGTATTTGTTTGAATGTAGAATTTGATCAACCTGTTTTGAAGCCATAATTAATTCTCATTTCAGTGTCCCACTAGAGAGTTTTTTCTGAGAGTTTCTTATGTTGAGCTTTATAATGAAAGATTTTATGATTTGATTGCTGACAATGCAATTTTGCTATTAAGAGAAGACCTTGTAAGTTTATAACATGTTTTAATTAATATTTTTGTAATTTTTAAATATTTTTATTGTATTATTTTTTTATGCAGATAAATGGTGATTCTTTGTCATATTTACAGGATAGAAATGTTTTCCTTGAAGGCTTAAAAGAAGAAATTATCACATCACAAAGTCATGTTGCTCAAGTACTGGCTAAAGGCAATGGTAAGTCTAAAAATATATTATAAATAGTGCATTTTAGTTAAAACCACTTAATTTTTTTTCTGTATTTCTTTATCAATTTTATATTTATTTTGTTTATTTTTGCTATAGAAAGACGACATTTAGCTGAAACAAAGCTTAATGCTTTGTCTTCAAGAGCACATGCTATTTTTAGAATTGTGAGTAAAAAAAATTTGGAAATCAATAACTTGATATGCAGACTTAGTATACATTAAATTTTGTGTAAAGCGAAATCTTAGTAAGCATTCATTGTTAAATTTATAGTCAAATAGTACCAACTTGGTACTACCAAGTAGTATAAATCTACTTCTCTGGGGGTAAATTAAATACTATTTGTTATAATTAAGTCACAAAAAAGTTATTGTAATGTTTAGCCATAACTATCTTTTCCTCTTAGGTAATAGAAAGCAGAGAAAGAGAAGATGCAGAAAACTCCTCAGTTTATGTGTCTCACCTGGTAATTCATGTTTTTAGTTAACGGCTAGCTAAAAATTACTTTCAGCAATCCTGTTATATGCTGATTTCATTATTAACAATGCATATGTGTTGTATAGTGAATTGTTTGAAATTTTTTTCATTAATAAAGCCACTTGTCTCAATATTTCAGAACCTTGTGGATCTTGCTGGGAGTGAAAAGGCTGGAGAGAATAGTGGTGATCGGTTGAGAGAAGGATGTAGTATCAATAAATCTCTCTCAACTTTAGCATTAGTCATCCACAAGTTGAGTGAAGAAGACAGGTACAAAAAAATTATTATTGTAGCTTATAATGGTATATTAAACAAAAATAATAATTGTTAATTTATTTAACCAATTCTTCAAGAAAAATTTTAAGGCTGGATCATAAAAATATTTTAATTTAGATTTGCTTGAACAAACTTTATTTTTCTCTCTTTGTTTTTCAGTGCATTTATTAACTACAGAGAGAGTAAATTGACCCGTATTCTACATAATGCTCTAGGTGGTAACTCAAAGACAGCTATTTTGTGTACAGTATCTCCTACTAGTGTTGAGGAGACTCATTCTACACTCAGAGTAAATTTGCACTATAATGTTTTATTTCCTTGATTTATCAAACATTTAGATTATTGTGTAAGTGGGTTTTACATTTTACAAACTTACATACACACACTTGAAACTTATATTTCACAGTAAATGTGTATAATTATGTAATGTTCTTTATTTTATATTGTATTATAGTTTGGATTAAATGCTAAAAAAGTCAAGAACAAGCCTGAACAGAATGAAGTGCTTACAGACCAAGCTCTATTGAAAAAATCCCAGCAGGAAATCGAAAAACTGAAGGCTGTAATAAAAAAAAGTAAGTCTTTTAAAAAATTATGCTAAATATGTTTTAAAAATTATTCATTACTTTTCATTTAAAGGTATTTAGTATAGTTTAGCTGGCAATGTATTTTTTCTCCTTTAGTTAGAGTCTGTCTTTTCTACACAAACTGACGATGGGCTGAAAGAGAAGAAAATGAAACAGTTGACTGAACAGTTGCGCAGTATTGTCTGTGTTTTGTCTAAAGTGAACATTGAAAAAAAAGAAAGGGTACAAAGATTTTTACTTCTCTTTATGGAGAATTCATTACCAATGTTGACATACATAGTGATTTTAAATTTTCTATATTTTTAAAAATCCTAATTATATTATTTTAAACATTTTATTTTATCACAATATTTCACTACTTCTTAAAGTAATAATAATGGTTTTTATCCGTTAGAATCGAAGACAAACAGTACGTGTTCCCCAGATGTCGATATTTACTGCTATGAAAGGTAGGAATTTTCCTTTCGATTTTTATGTAAATGAACTGCCAGTGTTTTGTTCTATTTTTATTTTTTTCCAGTAATATTTTGTTTTACATGTTTTGAATAACATTCATTTTATTAAAATAAGTATTTCAACAATGTCTAAACCTGCTTACTGTTTTCTTTATGATTACATTTTCTACTTGTCGTTAATTCTTTAATACATTCTAAAGTGCCATGTTTAATCTTTGTTTTTGTGTTTTCATTCAACTTCCAGATTTATCAACAGTAAGCAGTCCATTTCCACCAAATGATAACATAAATGCCCCTACAGCTCCAGTAGCAGGAGACCAGTCAATTGATCCCTCATTAAGCTCCCCTTACAGATCACATGAGTGTAAATGCAGGGATCTGTCATATACAGACTATGAACAATATTTTGTTGAAGAAGCTCTTGTCCAGGTGAGTATCTTGTTTGATTTTCTAATTGCTCTTTAAAGCACAATTTGTTACATGAAATACAGACATCATGTGTTCAGTGGTCTTAAATGTTAAGCTAACTTATCTGAATAACGTTTTGTTACCTTTGAATTGAATTAATTCTTTACAATAACAAATAGTGTTAAAGACAATTGTTTACACTGCATTTATTTGTGACAGAAATTGAGAAGCGAGATAAATATTTTGATCAAAGAAAACAGGCAGTTCAAAGTTAGGATTCAGGAAATGCATAGAGGCTTAGATGTAAGTAAATATTCTTGTTCCATTTCCACTTTTGGTTAGTTTTCACATATACTCAGACTTAGGGTGTTTCCAAGTGTTTACCCATAAGTTTCATGTTTTTATTAATGCTGGTTTAAAAATATGTCTTTGTAATACATCATGCAATAATATTTTATAATAAATTGATCATTACAATTTTCAGCACAATGATAGCTCAGTCTACACCATGAGTCTTGGACCAGATTTTGATGAAACAAATTTTTCCATTGATGAACAGGACAGTGAGGGAATATGTGGCGCCAGGTCAAATCTTGAATTCAATGAGGAGAACTTTGTTCAGTACGAGCTGGAGTTGACTGATGAAAGTGCCCAAGCTAAGTTTAATGGGAAAAAAGTTGACAACAGTTTTTCAAAACGACGCAGATTTTCAAGGGCTTTCAAAGGGGATGATAGTGTTTTTGAAAGTAGTTTTTTAAAGCCAAAACGATCCAGGATTAGTGATTTAATTTAGGGGCATGAATCAGAAGATACAGCTGAACCTAACACAACTGATGTATCAAGAAATGAGGTAGACTATCACAAAGTGAAATTAGAGAAAGTGGCTCTAGACTATGAAAGAAGTGAATGGGAAAGGGAAAGAATTGTACAAGAAAAAGAGAAAGAAAACATTGAAAAGTTAAGGCATAAAATCGCTGAGCAAACGGCAAATATAGAACGTGAAATTGAAATGTTGAATGACATTGAAAAAAAAAAAGTTTCAGGAGCCAGAGAGGAATCAACTAGATGAGCCGCATGATGAACTGAAGAAGGACAGAGATGAACTGATAGAGGAAAAAGAACAAGAGTCCAAGAACGATGAAGCTGCGCTGTGTAACAATGAACAAGACAAAATTGTAACAGCTGTTTTAACTGAAGTGAAGGTGAGACGAGGCATCCTAGAATGTTTAAATAATTTAAAGAAAGAGAACAATTATTGCATGCATCAAATTGGAGTGCGTCGTGTGCGCCGTGGTGGAGGACGATACAATGATAACGCGGATATCGGTCCTAATGCAGAACAATTTAGAAAGCTGTTTGTAAGAGGATTGAATTACAAAACTGAGGAAAATGGTCTCAGGAAACACTTCGAAACATGGGGAGAAATAGTTCATTGTAAAGTAATACGTGACCACAATACCAAGAAGTAAGTAGTGATAGTTAATAGCCTCTGCTTGGTAACCTGATTTGATCGTATTTTAGATCTATGTGATGTGTTGTGCTAGTTATGTTTAGGATATAACATTTTTTTCAGATCCAAAGGTTTTGGTTTTGTTACATACAAGGATTCAGCAATGATTGATATAGTCCAATTAAACAGACCGCACACAATTGATAACTGGGAGGTTCAAACAATGCGTGCAATGCCGAGAGATGTACGTATGCTTGAACATTGTCAAATGTCAACTTACGTGTTAAATGAAGATAAGCTACTATTGAAATTATTTATTTCTAATTTAGTTTGCAGATACTGAACATCTCTCAGTGGAGCAACTGTTTATTGGAAAAATGAAAGAAGACACAACAGAAGAACAAATAAGAGAAGTGTTTGGACATTTTGGCAACATTAAGTCTGTGAACTTTATAAGAGAAAAGAGAACAGGCAAAGTTAGACCTTTTGCCTTCGTCAGTTTTGAAGACTATGATTCAGTGGACAAAGCTGTTTGTAAGTAAATTTTGTCAAAACTAAGCTATGATGTATAACAAATTTGACATCTGATTATTCTGATGGCATACATTTCTACCACCTAGATCTCTTGAGCTTAAATTACATTTTCTTTTTAGTGTAGGGATTACATTTTTAGTCAAACTAATTATTAAATATTATTTTGTTCTCAGTAATAAAGACCCATGCCCTGAATGGGCACACAGTAGGGGTTAGAAAAGCTTTTTCTAAAGAAGAAATGACAGGTAGGCTTTTTTTTTATAAATAAAAAAGACTAAATTCTGTAGTAGTTTAATGTAGTCCACAGGTGGAGCTGTATAATAGCTCTTACAGGTGCCTTGTCACTGAACTGAAAAGGGACAGCTTTGATTTGGAGGCATATACTGCAGTGTTTTTTACTGCTAAATTAGCCAATATTTAGTAATAAGTTTAAATTTAAATATGTGCTTTGTTACAGTAGGTTACTGCTGAGGATATGGACAGGGCTGGGGAGGCTCAGGAGGCAGGTAAGGCCATTATAGTTATCTCCCCTGCCAAGCTTCCATTTTCTAAACATCTGTTCAGGACATTTCACTGATAGCGTAATCTCCATAGGTGATGGAAATTAAAAGGTTAAAAGAGGGATAAATCACTGTGAGGCTGACATGGTACAACAATTGCGGCGTTATATTTTTGAAATGCGTGCAAAATTCTGTAAATATTCGATTTATAAATACATTTTCCCAGTATTAATGTGTTTTATCTTTTCAATTATCAGGTGGTGGCACAATGAAAGGAGGTAGATATTCAGCTCGTGGATGGAGTCCATATGGAGGTTCCATGTCTAGAAGAAGCCGTAAGGTTAAGTGAATATTAAAGTCAGGAGTATTTACAATTCCGTCTAAGAAAAACTGTTTTTAATATAATTGATTTATAGAATAATTTTGTGTGTTTTTTGGCAAAATATTATTTATTTGGTAGACTTGATACAGTTTTTCTTTTTCAATTGATCTAGAAAATTAAACTGATCAACATCAATTAATTAAGACCGATATTTCCTAAATCATTAATTTGATTCTAAAGTTTTTTTTTTTAAACTAAGCTTTTTTATTTTTAAACTTAATACTTTTAGTTTAAACATTTTACATTCTGGTGTAACATCTATGTATAACAATCTATTTGTTATACTTAAAAGAGTATATAAGCCTTACAAAATATAATGGTTTTGAAATTTAGATGTAAAATATTTTTAATTTAGAACATTAGGTATTAGTGAGATCGTTTTTTTCCCACTGAAACTCACTTCTAAGACAGTTGTCTTCAACTCTTCACCTTCATTAACTCTCATTGTAGCATAGCAGTTTATAAAATATTTCTTTTTTTTTTTTTTGTGTCCTGCTAATTTTTTTCATTTCTCTTCAAATTAATTCTAGTAATTGTCATGTCTTTTTCAATTTCTCAACTATACAAGGGATACAACTCTTGAAATATTTAATTACAATGTATGCCTACATCCCTTGACCAAATATTTACTGTAATATCTCAACTTAATTTTTAATCTATTACATTGTGATCTGAAATATAAATCCATCTTTTTAACATTTGTTCAATTGTTGTATTCCTATTAGACATTAGCGGCAGCGCTCAGTAGAGTTTCTTCCAGGTATCTCATCGGGGGGGGGGGGGGGGGGGGGCGGGCGGTGGGGGCACCACCACCCCCCCCCCCCCCCGAAGAAAGTCTACCGCCCCCCCCCCCCTTGAACGAAATGGAATTTATATAGAAAATATATACTTTTGACAGTGTCCGCCCCCCCCCCCCCCAAATTGTTGTCCGCCCCCCCCCCCACCCCGAAAATTTCAAGTGCAACACCAGAGAAAAAGTCTGGAAGAAACACTGGTGTTCAGAAAAGTGATAGAAGGCGTGTTAGAATGGTAGAACGTTCGGCTCATAGCCCGAATGTCTTGAGTTCGGAGCTTGGTACAGACTCACGACTGCAGGATGTCCCTGAGTCCACCCAGCTCTGATGGGTACCTGACTCACATTGGGGAAAGTATAAAGGCAGCTGAGCATAGTGCTGACCACACCATCACTTCACATGCCTAAGTCAATAAACATGAACTCTACTTCATCTGCCCAATGGATCACTGATGTTACATTTGAGGGGTGGGATTTTTGTTTTGGTGTGCATGAAGGGGAAGGGATCGAAATGTGTGACGTTTTCAATTGGAAAAAAAGATTTTTTACATTAAAATTATAGATGTTGTTTTGTGTGTGTATAATTTTTTTTATTGTAATAAAAATGTATTGTTTGCTTCGGATTTCTTAATTAATTAATTTAACACATTTCACATCGTAGCTAGAAGACTCATAGTCACTCAAATAAACGCCTGTGTATTTACCCCCAGCCTTGAAAATGACTCTAATGAACGCCTGTGTATTTACCCCCAGCCTTGAAAATGACACTAATGAACGCCTGTGTATTTACCCCCAGCCTTGAAAATGACACTAATGAACGCCTGTGTATTTACCCCCAGCCTTGAAAATGACTCTAATGAACGCCTGTGTATTTACCCCCAGCCTTGAAAATGACACTAATGAACGCCTGTGTATTTACCCCCAGCCTTGAAAATGACTCTAATGAACGCCTGTGTATTTACCCCCAGCCTTGAAAATGAAATAAAAAATAAGTTGCTGAAAATATTTCGACTTTGTACGATTTGTATATCCTTACCCTATCCTCCCCCACCCTTCCCCCACCCCCTGTGGTATGGTCTGAGTATGCTTACCATATCCCAGAGGCGTAGCGATGGGGAGCGGGGGGCCGCACCGGGTGACACCATTTAGGAGTGACACCAAGGCAAAAAATAGCAAGATATATACAGAAAAATGGAAATTCCACTTAATTGTTTAATATAGTCTTTTGTAAAGTCTTTTAAGAGTAAATTTGACAAATCCCGTCAATGATAGAGAAAACGTGCTACATCAAGCTGTATTGATAACGACTATACATCAAAATCGTTAGTATTACCTGAGCACAGTTTAAAGCAATCACCGTGAGGAAGAGGGGGGGGAGGGAAGTAACATTAACTCATCGTTGCAAAATATGCATGAGGTAAACGGTTTGGTTAAGAATCTTAATAACTTATGTGTTAATCGATGTATAGGGGGGGGGGAATTAAATACATTTAAAAAATATGTGAATACATATACCCATGCGTATATACATACATATATATATTTTTTCCGGGTTGGGTGGGGTGTGCCGCATCGGTGTCACCCGACCTCGCTACGCCACTGGCAAATCCTCCATTGCTACCCAGATAGTACAATGAGCCCCCGGCTGTAAACTAATAAATCTCCTCACAATCCCCACCCCAGGACATTAACAACTTTGGCCACGGGTCAGCTAATAGACTACCCTTATGGCCTGTACAACTTTTATAAACAGTTATTTAACTTGTACCATCCTATGACGCTCGCTGAAATTATCTCAATCAACTAATTCAGGGGTCTGCAACCTTTTGAGGCGGAAAAGCTAAAAGTTGCAACTTAAAAAAATTCGTATACGCTCTACTCCCCCTACTCTCATTTTTCTCTGATGAGTGTGTTAATTCTGTTTAACGTTGTTTTTTGTTTTTTTTTACAGTATATTTTCTTATGAATTTTGAAAATGAAATAAAATAATTATTAATATTTGTGTACAAAACTTGTGAGCCTCCTCTTGTCTTCAAAGAGCCACGTGAGGCTCGCGAGCCTCAGGTTCACAACCCCTGAACTAGTTGTGTGTTTCCCCGATTTCACGATTTTTAATTTTACCCCCTGCAGAATCGTTGGTAAACTTTCTCCTTTTATTTTAACAAAGGAGATAACCGCGTTATTTTAATTCTAGAGTAGCGTGAGTGAGTGACCGCCCTTATAACAAAAAAAAAGATCAAAGTACAAAAAAATGAGTTGTAAATTATGTTCTTGAAACTGATTTTTTAATCGTATCGTAACAAAATATGTGCATTCAATTGTCATAAAAGATTTATTTAACAACCACTGTAAACAGAATCACATGGCAATATTGTAGGCCTATATTTTAAACCTTGATTTATGAAACACAAACTTTGTTCACAAAGTGAATAGCGTTTAACATATTTTATTCAACTAATGACAAATTTAGTTCTCTAATAAGGATTCATCTATTTATGACGTCCACAATATTTTTGGATTTTGGACCCCCTATCCCTCCCCACCCCCCCCACCATCCCCTAAGTAAAAAAACTGCAGTCATAATTTGGTAGTGAGAATGTGTTCTCGAATGGTAGAGCTTACGACTATTAACGTGAAAGTCTTGAGTTCGGATCCCAGGCTTATATCTGTAGGACGTCAAGAGTCCACCTAGCTTTGATGGATACCTGTTTCACGTTAGGCAAACAAGAGACCACCCCGCTTTTGATGGGTACCTGTCTCACGTTAGGCAAACAAGAGTCCACCCCGCTTTAATGGGTACCTGTCTCACGTTAGGCTAACAAGAGTCCAACCCGCTTTGATGGGTACCTGTCTCAAGTTAGGGAAACAATGGCGGCTGGGCATAACGCTGACTACACTACCCCATTGTATGCTTAGGTCAATAAAACAGATTAACTCTACTTAATCTGCTCCACAATAGATGAGATTTTGAAAAGTTTTTGTATTGTAAGCCTTGACTAAAGAAGAAAATGTTGAACTAATTCTGCAAGGGATTTTGAATATATTGACTTTTAATAGAAATGGAATAAAAGTAATTTACTTCGGGATATATATATATATATATATATATATATATATATATATATATATATATATATATATATATATAGCTAGTTTTCTCGAACTATAGTTACATGTGATGCAATCGACCTGTGACACCCACTAGATTCAGTAAAATAAAAATTAACTCCGACAGAAGAAGAGTTAGTGTTATAAACCATAGAAACACATGAACTGTAGGAAGTCTGCACATGAGAACCATTGACGTGTATTGAAATAGTAAACTGAGAGTCCACATTGGCAACACAATAGTTCAAATCTAAAGTATCATTATACATCACATGAATGGTCGTGTCTGGGTGATCGATGGTCAATGGGAACACTTGGGAATTTATTGTTGCGGTTTGCAAAACTTTATCTGAAATTTAAAAAAAAAAATTTAATGCGGCGAAGGTTCTGCTTAAATTAGCTCTTTTAATGAATGACTACAGGACAGGTAAGGCTAAATGGCTGTAGATGCCAATTATCTATCAGAAACAACTACCAAATCAACCAACTGCTGCCTTGTAGTTAGTGCTTGGTTGGACAAAGGCTATGGACACTGTTTCTTCCAGACTTTTTTCTCCGGGAGGGCACTTGGTATTTTCGGGGGGGGGGGGGGGGGGGGGGGGAGAGGGCTCCGCACCAGCGAAGGGTGCCTGGAAGAAACTCTGGCTATGGAAGCAAATCCAAAAAGAAAAGCAGGCTGAAATCGGAGTCAAAAGCCTATACGGTTCATAACAAATGACGTGCAATACTTGTGTTTAAGGGAATTCCTTTCCAACACAAGAATTAATAACGGCGGAAGAAAAAAAAATAAATCCTACCAAAAATTTCAGGTAGTGTTCTAACAGGTGTAAATGTCGATGATGTGCCATAGTTATTTGTCCAAGTTCCTTGAATCTCGTTTTTGCTGAGAGAAAGTGTGGCTTCCCCTTCGATAGTGTAACTGTACATCGAATCGTCTTGTAAAAAACATTCACAAGTTGATGACGTTGGTGTGTAAACGTTAAATCTACAATCTAAATCGCAAAACTGAAAATAGAATAAAATGAGTGTATATATATATATATATATATATATATATATATATATATATATATATATATATATATGTGTGTGTGTGTGTGTGTGTGTGTGTGTGTGTGTGTGTGTGTGTGTGTGTGTGTGTGTGTTAGCGTGGGTGTGTTTGTGTGTGTTTTAGCGTGTGTGTATGTGTGGGTGTTGCTAAGTAGGTGTGTGCGTGTTTGTGTACTTGTGTACAGAATAAGGAACATTAGCTGAATCTAAGTTAAACCTACCCAGTAGTGAGGCAAAGAGGGACTCTCTCTCAGAATGATCAAGTAAAACCTACCCAATAGTAAGGCAAAGAAGGACTCTCTCTCAGATAGAATGATCAAGTAAAACCTACCCAATAGTAAGGCAAAGAAGGACTCTCTCTCAGATAGAATGATCAAGTAAAACCTACCCAATAGTAAGGCAAAGAGGGACTCTCTCTCAGATAGAATGATCAAGTAAAACCTACCCAATAGTAAGGCAAAGAGGGACTCTATCTCAGATAGAATGATCAAGTAAAACCTACCCAATAGTAAGGCAAAGAGGGACTCTCTCTCATGTAGAATGATCAATTAAAACCTACCCAATAGTAAGGCAAAGAAGGACTCTCTCTCAGATAGAATGATCAAGTAAAACCTACCCAATAGTAAGGCAAAGAGGGACTCTCTCTTATGTAGAATGATCAAGTAAAACCTACCCAATACTAAGGCAAAGAGGGACTCTCTCTCTCTCTCTCTTATGTAGAATGATCACGTAAAACCTACCCAATAGTAAGGCAAAGAAGGACTCTCTCTCTCTCTCTCTCTCTCTCTCTCTCTCTCTCAGGTAGAATGACCAAGTAAAACCTACCCAATAGTAAGGCAAAGAAGGACTCTCTCTCTCATGTAGAATGATCAAGTAAAACCTACCCAATAGTAAGGCAAAGAAGGACTCTCTCTGAGAAAGAATGAAGCAAATCGTGGCCAGTCCTCAGGATCAGTGTTTGAGGCGTCCAATAGACCAGAGAAATAAAAGGTGTCATTAACCTGCACCCCCCGTACACAGCTGGTAAATAATGCAGTGGCGTTGTTCTCTTCTAGTGAGATTCTTTGACTGTCGCATGCTGGAAAATATATAAGGACGTCTAGTTACACTAGGAACTGATTTCAAAAAGATATGCTCCGACATCGAAGATACTTTTATTTGTAAACATTATTTAAGATACATGTTAATCCGAAAAAAAATATATGTGTTTGTTCCATATAAAAGTGGCAAATATTAATAAGTTCAAAAGTAGAGGTCACGCTACCTACCAACAATAGTCATGCAAAACATGAATCCTATTTTAAGTATCCGATGCATGTTTTCATGTAAGTGTGCAAATGTGACGTCTGTTGAGTTAACCAACCAAAGTATTCCAACGTGATCTGTCTAAAAAAAAAAAGAAAAAAATAGAAAACAATATATATATATAGCTTTGCTTAACATATTATCACACACGTGTGTGTGTGTGGGTGTAGTGTAGCGTACTGTACTGTACTGTACTGTACTGTACTGTACTGTACTGTACTGTACTGTACTGTACTGTACTGTACTGTACTGTACTGTACTGTACTGTACTGTACTGTACTGTACTGTACTGTACTGTACTGTACTGTACTGTACTGTACTGTACTGTACTGTACTGTACTGTACTGTACTGTACTGTACTGTACTGTACTGTACTGTACTGTACTGTACTGTACTGTACTGTACTGTACTGTACTGTACTGTACTGTACTGTACTGTACTGTACTGTACTGTACTGTACTGTACTGTACTGTACTGTACTGTACTGTACTGTACTGTACTGTACTGTACTGTACTGTACTGTACTGTACTGTACTGTACTGTACTGTACTGTACTGTACTGTACTGTACTGTACTGTACTGTACTGTACTGTACTGTACTGTACTGTACTGTACTGTACTGTACTGTACTGTACTGTACTGTACTGTACTGTACTGTACTGTACTGTTCAGATAAGGCCCGCCACTAATGCATAAGGCCCGCCACTAATGCAAAAAGTGCACAGCGAAAATTTTAATGACACGCCATAAAACAACGCCTCTAGGGTTAAAGTTGGGGTTAGGATTAAAGGTACCAAAATGTAAACCTTTTCATGTGAAATATTAACGACATATCCCAATAACTCTGTTCAATAAAATCTGAAACTAAGTTTCGTATATTCTTTTTATAAATGTTTTTTTTAATAATGTTTTTTATTTTTTGATGGCGGGGGTCAATTTTCAGGCTGGACTTTTCTGGAATAGATCTATATTTTATAACCCGATCGCTGTCAACGATATGGAATAGGTTAAAGATAAGTTAGTGATAAGATTAGGGTTAGGCTTAGTGTTACGACTGTGCAGTGGCGTAACGAGGTCGGGTGTCACCCGGTGCGGCACTTAATGGTGTCTACCCCCCCCCCCCCAGTGGCGCAGCGACCTTTCCCGGCGCCCGGGGACAAACTTTCAATTTGCACACCCTCAAACTTTCGAATTGCACCCCCCCCCCACTCCTCCACCGTCAGTGTTTCTTCCAGACTTTTTTCTCGGGGGGGGGGGGGCACTTGAAATTTTCGGGGGGGCGGTAGACTTTCTTCGGGGGGGGGGGGGTGCGGACACTGTTAAAAGTATATATTTTCTATATAAATTATATAAATTTCATTTCGTTCGGGCCCCGCCCCCTCCCCCCCCCCCCCGGAAGAGATGCCTGGAACAAACTCTGTCCACCTTTGTCGGGATTTGTCAAATTTGCTCTTAAAAGACTATTTAACACTCGAATTAATCACTTAATTAAGTGGAATTATCATTTTTCTCTATATATTTTGCTATTTTTTGCCTTAGTGTCACCCCCCTAAATGGTGTCACCCGGTGTGGTCCGCCCCCCCCCCCCCCCCTCTCGCTACGCCACTGCGACTGTGTGAGAGGTTTGATCTACTAGTTCACTACTATGCAATATCAGACACTCTACGTAGTCATTGTGCCATTTCACATTCAGACGACAAGGTGACAATCTATACTTGAGACATGCATCATAACACTTAGGTATAATGTATAGAAAAAAAAGAGATCAATGACAAGCTTATAGAGATAGATTTGATACGTATTATAAAATGGGGTAACTACGGATGGTGGGGTGATTGGCATTGGATAATGACTGGGGAAACGACCAGCGGGTAAATGTTGGGAGTTTATTTCCCAAAAGTAAACAGAACACATCATTAGTCAGTGTTGTTTTTAAAACTTTAAAACTATATTTAATTTCCTTTACTCTCAATTATATACAATATGTTTTTTTTTTCTCACATTAAAACCGCTGAGTATAATATGTAAAACAAACATTTATACTGTTAACATTTTACATATTGCAATTTTGAAATATTAACAGACAAAAAACTAACACGTGAAATTTCAAATTAAAATAACACCTTAACCATTACCGTTTTAAAATGTGTTTACTTTAAAGTAAATATTGGCCTACTATTCAATTTTATTCAAATATTTAACTCTAAATATCTTACCCGACTGTTTGACTTGTACAAAATATTGAATGCTCCAGCGTTGTTAGGTTGTTTCAATAAAAAGAACTGGAATGTTTTTAAAGCATATTTTTTTCCTACAGCACTACAGCTAAACGTACCAAAAATATCCCTAACACTTAACAGCCGCAACAAGTTCTGCGGGTTTACCGAATGTTCCTGTAGTAGCTATAGTTATACATGGAGAGAGGAAAATGCCATCTATTGCAAACACAGCCCGTCTAATAGATAGCAACATTCAATGTGTGCCGCGTTATCAAGGGTATGCAATACTAGCTCTAACTATCCCACGTTTGGCCTAGCAAAGTTGTCAGTTTTAACGAAAAACCCGATACAAAGAAACATGATACGTCGGTTATCCTTTCAAACAACAAACAAATTATTATTTTAAAAGAATGATATGCTACATATTATTTAAAAGGCATAAGCCTTTACCTACAAGTTGTAAGAAAATAAATTACAACTATAAATATATATATATATATATATATATATATATATATATATATATATATATAAACATATATATATATTCTAAACATACTGTTCTTTGCTGTTTTAGATAATTGGTACAGCATGTTGGTAAAATATGTATTAAGTTCATGTACCCAATAACTATATATTAGGAGGGGGAGGGATGGTTTTCTTGATTTAAGAGAATAAGCAACCTGTATGTAAGCGAAGTCCATGTATGGAAATGTTACAGATAAAAATATCCTACTCTATAACAAAACAATTCTTGGAAAAGCCTGCCCTAAGCTACGGCATACAGAGATGGAATTTATACAGAGATAAGAGGTTATGTTTCACTTCCTTATAGACACGCCTTTCATGTTCGAATGTGTTAGAGTTGTATGAGTTATGTAGATCTGGTAACAAACTAACACTTTCTGGATGGTAAAAGTAATTAGGTGAAATAATTGTGTTAACAATGTGTTAGTAATGATCTGTGTTTTCTTTATGAAACCACGCATGGATATGTAGGTTAGATACATCTATAGGCTATATATATTTATATACGTAATTTTATATATATATATATATATATATATATATATATATATATATATATATATATATATATATATATATGTATATATATTATTATATTATTTCTTGTTAGATTTAATAACTAAACATGTGTATTTATTTTAACAACACACAGCGAATAGAAAAAAAATGAATGTTAATGTTGTTATCGTGCTAGCAGTATCAGCATTCTCTGCTACAGGTATGTAAGGATCACACATCTCTGTTGTTAGGCCTATATATAATATATATATATATATATATATATATATATATATATATATATATATATATATATATATATATATATATATCCATTAATTTTATTAATGGATGTAAAATTCAGTTAAAAGAGTACTTAACACTGAACTAATAAAATGTTTAGTCCTGGAATAGGCTATAGTGTATTTAAGGTTGGCTAGCTTAGAAATGTTCGTGTTTGGGAGTGTTCGTGTCAGTTTAAATCAGTGTTTCTTTTAGGCATCTGTTCGAAAATTTAGTCTACGCCCGACCCCCCCCCCCCCCTACCCATCCCCCGTGGGTATTAAGCCCTCCCCCCTTCCCCTGAGAAACAAGTCTGGAAGAAACTTTATTTATGATTAAACGCATGTACCTCTGTGTCATGTCGTCAGAGTTTCTTCCAGGCATCTCTTCGGCAAAGCCCCCCCCCCCCCAAAAGAAATTCTACCCCCCCCCCCCCCCGAACGAAATGAAATTTATATAATGTATATAGAAAATATATACTTTTAACAGTGTCCGCCCACCCCCCTTCCCCAAGGAAAGTCTACCGACCCCCCCCCCCCCGAAAATTTCAAGTGCCTCCCCCCCACCCCCCGGAGAAAAAAGTCTGGAAGAAACACTGCATGTCGTTTAGAAATAATGCAATAAAACTATTTGTTTACAGGAGCTTTGAAATGCGATCCACCCACTGCTACACTTGGTGACAGCTACACGCTCACATGGAGCGGATATGTTACCACAAATACGGTAACCTGGCGCAGTAACTCTCTCAACATTTTAGCCAATTGTTTTGTGGACACGGAGCATTGCTCCACCGGAAGTACTGTATTTGACCGGCAAATCAGCAGAAACCCCGACGGCATCATTACTACCTATTTAACACTGTATATAGTCATTGAGGGCTATGATAAGAACAATTTCACTCTTGTTGCATATCCAGATATCCATGATGTTTGCACAGATCTAGAAGTGTTTAGTAAGTTATTCTATTTCAATAAATAAGAAATATAAGCCAATCTATTTATATAATTCTATACGTGGGGACCATGCGAGACACCACCAAGATGTAAGCTTTAAGCTCAACAGACCATATCGCTACCACCCCCCACCCCACCCCCACCAGTCTGGTGAGCTGTTTACAATAGTAGTGACGGCTATTAGGGGCAGATAATTTAGTTTTTAAACGATTTAAAAGGAATGGGAGCTAATAACATGTTCTGCTTACTCTTTTAAGTGTCGTCTGTAAACTGTCGTCACAGACTGCAGCTTTCACTGAGGCGGGGGGGGGGGTGGAGGGTGGGGAGGGAGGGTGAGGATAATCGTTCTTCACTAGATACTGATAGTGTTTTAAAGCAAAATATTTTCAGTCGCAGCACTGGTAGTGTCGAATTCACAAATTATGAATTAATGAAAAATAGGAATCATTCTAAATAGTGGCGTGTGCTACGTCGCGGGTCAGCTCGTTGTATATAATCATCTTTTCTCTTTCGTGCCCAAAACACACGTGGTAGATGAAGTAGACATCATATTCTTCAAAGACAATGGCCTATGCAGAAATAGTGTGGGCAATACAGTGCCCAGCCGCCTTCGTATTCCCTAACGTGAGTTAGGTACCCATCAAAGCTGGGTGGACTCTGGGACATTCTAATGACTTGAACCCGGATGTAAACACGAGACTTTCAGGTTAGCAGTCCAGCTCTCTACCGCTAGGCCACGCCGTCCCATCTATATACTACTAAAAGTCAAGTTTGTTTACATGTTTGAATATTTATTTGTTTGTTTTTTTGTTTGCCTGATTGACTATTGCTCATGGTTGCACTCATCGTGGAAAGCTGTAAAATAGTATGTAGGTAGAGAAAAATTTTTGTTTTAAGACAGACTGTTAATCACACATTTATTTAAAGACGTTAATTAATTTATTGATTTATTCATAAGCAGAGTAACCCATTTTTTTTTAAAGTTTAGAACGACCACTACACTCGGCGGGACCGTGACGTCACAGTTTTTTGTTTACTCTTTAGTACAATAAAATGGCGGCGTCTATCGAAGAAAATTGTGTTCCCATTCAAAAGTTTAACGCGTTCTAAATCTAATTTTCTGTCGGTCATAACTTTAACAATACGTCCGTTTGCTGTATTTATTACGTTCCAACACTTATATCAAGTTTCAACTGTCTTTTTTCATTTAGTTTTACAATAAATTTCTCTAGATCTAAAGATCAGCTGTCGAAGGAAAGTTATGAATCTAGCCTAGATTTAGATCTAGATCTAGCCTAGATCTAGGTCACTAGACTCAATGTAAATTCTAGATCTAGACTTAATGTAAATTCTACATCTAGAATCTATTTCAGGCCTTAATACATCTAGAATCTATTTCAGGCCTTAATTATTTTATATAAATCTTTGTTTGGCTAATTTAAGATAAGAGCAAAAACATTAATATAGATCACGAGGTTCTGCTCTTCTACACTACAGCACGCTAGCTGTCAAACGAAATGTTGTAAATTGTGTTTTTGAATTGAAATTTGTAAATTGTGTTTATTAATTGAAATCTGAAATCAAATTTGTTCTTGGAAGTGCAAAGGAAACAAGACTTTTTGGTATACTTAAAACGACATAGAGCGGTTGGAGAGAGTATCATACATTGCAGATGTGTTCGAGCATCAAGACAAGCTTAACCTGAAGCTTCAGGGAAAATGAACGAATACTATAACTTTCCATGATAATCTCGGGGCATTTTTATCAAAGCTGCAAAATCGGTAAAGAAAACAAATCTTGGAAATATTGTAAATTTGAGAAACTCTGCAGTGTGGTAGATGAATCTGCTTGTGAGATAATTAAAATTTTGAAAGAAGCGATTTCTGGGCATCTTGAATCTCTTGAAAACGAACTGCATCGCTATTTCTCTGAGCTGAAAAAAGAAGAATCTGCATTTACGCATTACACATTCTCTCCTTCCCTTGATGTTGCCAGCATCCCTGATGAATTACAAGATGAATTCTTTGATTTGCAGAATGATTCCGAGTAAGATGAAAAACTGCAGACACAATTTTGGTGTAGTATTCACCATTCATACCCAAACGTAAAATTGATTGACTTTTCGAGAATATATTTTCAACACTATTCTTCGATTAAAAACAAAATTAAGATAATTATAATGACATAGGTTAACGTTAAAAAAAAATTTAATTAAAAACTTAACCACGAAGGTTTAGTGAATAGTATGCAATTTTACTCATGCTATTAAAACAGTTATCAAGAGTAGTTCACATTGAATGTCTCTTAGAAAATCTTATTTTAGTGCTTATTAATTTCCATACTAATTTCGGCTTTTTAATACTATGGGGGTCGTGGGTCACTTACTTTTTATAAAAGGGGGTCGCCACTCGAAAAAGGTTGGGAACCACTGGTCTAGTAGACTGTATCCTGTGGCGTAACGAGGTCGGGTGTCACCCGTTGCGGCACTTAATGGTGTCACCCCCGTCCAAAAATCATATACATGGATTAACACATAAGTTATTAAGATTCTCAACCAAACCGTTTACCTCAGGCATATTTTTCAATGTAACTTTCCCCAACTCACCCCTTCCCCCCCCCACCTCCACGGTGATTGCTTTAAATTGTGCTCAGATAATACTAACAATTTTTTTTTATCTATAGTCGGTTATAAATACAGCTTGACGTAGCATGTTTTCTATATCACTAGGCATGCTGCCCAGCTTCGCTTAGGCTTTCGAAAACATTGAGAATTTGAATGCTTAATTATTTCGCCCGAATGTCGGTCTACGACCTCAAGAGTTATGAAGAGGTTCCTCCGTGGACATTTTTTTCGATTTATAGCTCATATAAGGTACCGGTCAGTCGAGGTCAGTTTTGACCTCCACATCGTAGACTTTTCGGCCAACCGGCCCCCGTGTTCTGTCGCACCAAGGCAAGATCATGCCAAATTTGAAGCGCCTGCGGCGCCGGGAATTTTTTTTTAAGTTTAGCCCGAGCATAATAAAAAAGAATACATTAACCAAGTTGACTTGCTGTGTCTCGAACCCGCACCACCTGCGTGGTTTAATGTACACTAACATCTCCGCTATTTAGGCACCTTATACAATACGGAGAATAAAACACGTATTTTAAAATCTTAACTTACGCGAATATGCCTATTCTTTCAAATTGATTTTTTATCCCAAATTAGCCAGTTCCAAACAAAGATTTTGTATAAAATAAATAAGTCTTGAAATAGTTTAGTCCTAATATAGAAATTTATTTTTGGAATTGATTTTAGAGAAGTTAGAGTCTAAATCTAGATCTTAGCGTCTACGTCTAGATCTAGTTATTGCGTAGATTTAGATTTAGATTTAGTCTAGATCTAGAATCTCTAGATCTAGAATCCAAATACATAAAATAAATTTTATGAGTTTAGGCCGGAAAAATTGTATTGTATACATTTCATAGTGTACGTAGATCTAAATCAAATTTGAATGAAATAGTTCATTTCTTTTCATTCTAAACACGGCAGATGACGTCATTAGTTAATGTATAAGCAATAGTGACGTCACAGTTTTATGCGTTTTTTTTTTTCACATATATTAATGCTTTTCCGGTTGCATAAATAATACTGTTTCTCTACATTCGAATACGCCTTTAATTTTTATTTTTCTTCTTTAACTAAAATTGTGGTTATACATTTAAAACATCTAACATATTATTTTCAACAAAAGTCCGTAAAAAGTTCTTCATATATCGCTGCCGATTCTGACGTGATGTCCGGCGAAAATATTTTGCGGACAGACAGAGAGAGAGAGAGAGAGAGAGAGATGTGCGAACGTGGGGATTTATATATTAGGATTAGCAGGTATACGTTATGGTGTCAACCCCCCCCCCTCCCCTACCCTTGTCGGGATTTGTCAAATTTGCTCTTAGAAGACTATTTAACACTATAATTAATCACGTTGTTTAGTGGAATTATCATTTTTCTGTATATATTTTACAATTTTTTGCCTTGGTGTCACCCCCCTTAATGATGTCACCCGGTGCGGTCCTCACCACATCGCTACGCTGTTTATTAGGACTTTATAAGTATTAACATCGTTAGAGCTGTTTTATTTTTATTGTTAGTGCATTATACTTTCGACTAATTTTAATTACAATTTAAAAACTAACTAAATTACTAGGGTTGGGGGTCGGGAAAATTAACACTCATAACGTATTTGGTTATTTATTAATAATTTGATTCTCTAATTTAATTCAATTTCAATAAACACACTTTTTATTCGTATTCATATTGAAAAAATGTAACAAGGAAATCTAATTCTAGCTAAAAATGAATATAATTAACAGCTGTTTAGAATAGTCCTATAAATTAATTTGTACAGTTACATTTCTAACATGCTAATTTTATGAATGATAATATTACATTTCTCTATATGTGACGGGATACCTACTTGTCTTATAAGGCTTATCCAGCTACCTCTTTAAAATAGTAGTACAAAAACATTGTTCATTGTTTTTGGATACAATTTTAAAGATAACGTAGGGAAATTCACACACAATTTCCGGGTCTCAAAACATCGCTAGACCAGTGGGCTACATTGCACCGGCTGGTTTGTTACCACCTTCAGGGTAACCCCCCCCCCCCCCCCTGCCTCCCCAACCACCACGGAAACACGGCTACCACTCCCTCCCACGAACGAAATTTTAATTAAATATATATAAAACTATATAAGCAAACATGTGTCGACACCACCCGAAAAATTATAAGTAAGCCACTCATACCTTTCAAGATACCCAACCTCAGAGAAAAATTAACTGAAAAAAAACCCACTGTTACCAAGCACACACGCTACAGCTAGACCTACCTTTTTAATTATAAGCTATGCTATGTTTAATTTCTATAGACAACCACATAAATGGACCAATAAGTACAGCAGATATTGATCAGCTTCCTGCAATAATAAGTGGGGTTTTGGCAGGATTGGTTATCGTTGGTCTTGTTATTCTACTCATTGTTAAACGTAAGTTGTTTCCCCTCATGTGAAATAAAAATGCTAATCATTAGACAAAGAGACATACGTACTATGATAAATAGTAAAACGAATGACCAATGTTAGATTTAGGCACTTTTAAAATAGTTATTCATTTTCTTACTGTTAGAGTTGTTACTGTTATTTTTAGGTAAAAGTTTACGTCGAATGTTCAGTAAAACAAGGTAAACTTCAACTGTTATTTTTTTATACGTAAACTCATTATTTTTTATAATAGTAATTAACATTATAGAGCACAGAGCTTCTAAGTTAAACAATTATGTTAAATTGGCAATTATTAATTATTTAGTTTAATCTAAAATGTTCTAAATTTGCAGATGTTTTGTGTTTTGTAAGAAAAAGAAGGATATGTATGAAGGTATGGCATATCACACAAATATAAAATATACCATTTAAAATAAAATATAAAATGAATTACAATTTGCAAAATATAATTACCTATTTATTTTAAAAAATACATTTTAAAAATATGATGGTTTTAAACCAAATGTTTTAAGGTGTTTTGTGTTAGGAATGCATTCTTTAAAAAACGACAACCGACAGATGATAGAAAAGAAATAGTGTGTTATAATCTGTTATAACAAAAATTGTCCTCTTTGTTGTGCTAAACAAATTTTAAATATAATATTGAATGTTAGGCTTCAGAAATGTAAATCACAATGAGGTGTAATGTATTTAGTATATATTCTAATGGCTTTTTTTTCAATTTCGTAGGCTCTACTAACAACGAAGGCAGAGAAATGTCAAACACGTATATGAATATGGCAGGTAATAACGGTTTGGATTCCTAATTATGTAGAATTTAATTTCAAAACGGTGCAGTATATTTAATGGCTACAGGACATTACCCCCGGACATCCCCCCCCCCCCGGAGCAATTACCCCCCTGTCAATTACCCCCTGGAGAATTCCCCCCCCCCCCACCCCCATTCATCAAGATAGAATCCTGATTCTAACTCCAACTCTATACCATTATATTACCTTAATCCTAACCTTAAGACAAAGACGAAAAACCTAACAATTCACCTCACCTTAAAATAAACCCAAAACCAAACCCAACTCTAGACATTCATTTAAGCCTAACCCTGATCCTAGCACTAATCCTAGCCCTAGCCCTAACCCCAACCCTTGCGCTCGCCCTAGTCTTAGCCCTAATCCTAACCCTATTCCTAACTCTAACCCTAGCGCTAACCCTAGACCTAAACCTAGACCTAGCCCAAATTCAAACCCTAGCTCTAAATCTAGCTGAACCTTAAGCTATGACCGGGGGGGGGGGGGGAAGGGGGGTAATGTCCGACTGGGCGGGGGGTAATTGACGGGGGGATAGACATGGGGGTAATTACTCCGGGGGGGGGGATGTCCGGGGGTTAAATAGGCAGGGGGGTAATGCCCAGTTCCCATATTTAATTGTGTGAAATCTTAGTTTTGCCACATCAGCCATTGCAATTAGTTATACGTATGTTTAATTATCGCAACTTAATCTATGATTTAATTAATGACAAGGTTTTTCAACAAATTGGCCTACATTTGAATAATTTATTAATTTATCTCTGTTTGTAAGTAACCTCGTAAGTGATTAAATATGGGGGGAAAAAATAAAAAAACATTAAATTTCGCACTAATTAATCCTAATTTTCTCTACATTAGATTTTGCCTAATTTTATTTTACTTTTTTAATTTGTAATATTTAAGTTGCAAAAATATTTTTTTTGGGTTTACTATATCCGTAACCACAAAAATGAAGTTTGCAAGTAAAAGTAGGCCAATTCATTTTATTAAACTAAAACTAAAAAGTTTCATATATTTATAATCGTAATAAATGTAAATTATTGTATTTAAAAAGAGTATAGTCCACTATTATATAATGTGTTAAAACAATGCAATTAAAAAGTGTTTTTTTTTTTCTCACAGTGAATACTGACACTTCATTGAAGATACGGCAAAGACACGATTATGACGAAATCGATGTTGTTACTCAAGAAATTGATAGTATGCATGTTTCGTTTTTAGTGTAATTTATTTGTTAACGATAAATTAGAAGAAAAAAATTAAACATTAAAAACAATTATTTTAGAAAAAACTAACAATTCTGGTTTCCATCATATTATTTGGATTTAAAAAAAAATTATGACATGCTCTCATATAATCATGTTTCTTTTGTTTCAGATTCCAAGTATGAGCAATTTTCAGTGGCGCCAAAAAGTCACTATCAAAATGTAACCATAGGGTCAAGTATTTAATTATACAATCACAAGTTTAATTAGGGGTTGAAGACTTATGATTTAATTATGCATCATAGTAGTAAGAGTTACCTAGAATCAATATATCTGTAACTAATTCTTTTGGGTAATTTTTGGGATAATTACACAAAATGTTGGTTACTACATACATTACAATTGATGTGATTAACTTGTGATTTAAAAACAAGATCTCTTAAGCTGAGTAGTTTTATTACATCGCTATAAATAGAAAATGTGATAATTGAGAGGTCTCTGTTTGGTTTACATAAGTATATTGTTTTCCATACAACTCTAAAAATTGACAGTTAAATTAACATGTGACAATAACATTATGCAGATATCGCAATAATCTATATATATAATTCTCTTCTGGGAGCCGTTAGAAAACAAGCTGCAAGCGCGCCTTACAGTCCCCTCTCTTCCTCTCTATCGCTACCACCCCCCACCCCCTCGCGTGGTCTGGTGAGCTGTGGTTCACGCTGTTTACATTTTACAATCATAGAGACGGGTTTGATAACGGCTATTAGTGGCAGATAATTTACTTTGAAACGATTTTAAACTTAGAGGAGGTAACTAAGAGGAGGCTGCTTTGATGTGGTGGGGGGGGGGGGGGGTTAGTGTTTTTAACAGTAGCGTAGCGAGGGGGGGGCGGGGGGGGGGGGGGACATATGTCCCCGGGCGCCGACCTTAGGGGGCGCCAAAATGGGTAGGAAAAATAAATTGAAAGGTTGAGGGGGGTGCAAATCGAAAGTTTGAGGGCGGGGGTGCAAATCGAAATCTCGAGGGGGGGGATGCAAATCGAAAGTTTGAGGGGGGGGGGGGTGCAAATCAAAATCTTGAGGGGGGGTGCAAATCGAAAAGTTTGTCCCCGGGCGCCGGGAAGGGTTGCTACGCCTCTGGTTTTTAAGCAAATATTTTCAGTGGCAGCATTGCTACTGTCGAATTTACCAATTATAAATTACTGAAAAGTAGAAAAAAAAACAACTAAATAGCGGCGTATGATACGCAGCGGGTCGGCTTGTTAGACATTAAAATTTTACTAAACCATGTTTGTTGTGTCTTTTTTTTTAAAGAAACAAATCGCCAAATACAGTTTATAGTTTAGTAAGTAACAGGGGTGCTGTGTATAAGAGGGTAGGCCTACTCTAAAAAATTTCGTGTCAAGAAATAGAATGTAGGCCTATATTAAAAAAAAACATCTAAAAACTTTCAAATTATTGGCCACTTTACTGCTAAACTAATGTTTATGATCCATTGTATGTTATGTTGTTATTTTAAACCGCCTTTAATAAAACTTCGCTCTTCTAAATTTATTTTTTGGTTAATTATTTTTCTATTTGTAAATGTTAGTGCTTAATACATGCATACAAATAAGAGCTAATTAGTTTAAATGTCAAAAACGACATTCTCAATGGTTAATTTGTTCCAAGTTAATTTTATTGTGAACTTGTGGTAAAAAAAAATCCTGTTTATTTCTCTATTGGAAGTCTGAAAGTTACCAGATGGGTTGTGCTTCTCATCAGGTATAATATAGAGACCATATTTCCATGCTAGCAATATGTTTGCAGGCATTACAAGACCTTTTCTTCGCTTGCAGATGCGTTTCCTGGATCACTATCACTAAGGCACTATATTGTTAAATTAAGATCAACGAGAACAAAAGAGGCGTAGCGACACATTCCGGCGCCCGGCTTGAACTATTGAATTTGCGCCCCTGTCCCTTGTATTCCTTCATAGTCATTTTTGATGGCTAACAAAATGCCCCCCCCCCCCCACTGGCCATCCACTTTATCTATTTTTGGTACGATTTTTACCTCCCCCTCCGCTTCGTCACACATCGTCACAAAAAGCCAGAATCCCACCCAGGCAAAGAAATGACCCCGCACCTCAGCTTAGAAAACTTTCAATTTGCTGTTGGTTTTTTTTTTTTAAATTAAACAACTAAAAAACAATTTCTTTTAAAAATGATTACTGAACTCAGTTATCATTAAATAATTTATTGAGTTTCTATTATAATTTACAAAATACCCCCTGTAAAAACGCAAAATAAAGGCTATTAATTCAGGTTCCAACATAACTTAACAAAACAACAACTAACTGCTTAATTGTTAAGAGTCCCTGAGATAACGCAATGTTAGGTAAGATTCAGATATAGGTCAAATATAGGCGGCAAGTAGAATACTAGCGAAGGTCAGCTATATATTTGGTCAAGCAGAACCAATAGCATTGCACTTGCAGTGGAACGAACAAACGCCACAAACGTTGTTCTGTTGAAATTTTGTTTTATTACCGACATCCTACGATTTATTTTTTAATCGAATAAAGCAAATATCAATTTTGTTTATTTTCAAAAATATAGTTAAAGTTACTTAATAAAAAATACAATTACAATTTTTAAAGTGTTATTAGGCCTATATTTCTACGATTTCTACAAGTACAACAAAATACAAAGTGTTAGAGATCGGTAGGTGTTGGCATTAATAAATAAACAATATGCCTGGATATTCCTTCCACTGACTACTACATTATAATTTATATGAACACTATGACCCTAGCAAATTTGTTATATTGCGACTGCTTAAGCTATGACCTATATTAAAGTTTTTATATGCACCTACACAGACCACTCTTTCTGAGTCGACCGAGACGGGACTTTTCTGCCGCTGACAAGAACACGTGAGCGGGCGAACGTAGGAGAAGTATTGATTTTAAAATATTTAAACAAATTCTGATCTAGATCAAGAATTTAAAAAATAACATACAACGCGCGTGATATATTTGTTTAATTTACGACTTTTCTCCTCGCACTTCTGGTGAGAAAACATAACACCCAAAAGCCTCAAAATTGAATGTTGCTATTTACCCGTGATTCCGCAGGTGTCTCGCATTTTCTTCTCGCAATTTACCGCCTCGCCATTTCCCCAACATGCACTTTTAAATTTAATCAATGGTTTGATTTTTAATTAGGTAAAACTTTGTAATTATGAAATCTTATAAACCCATTTTTTTGTCAGTCTATTACAAAAAAAAAAAAAACTATGTGTGTTTGACTAGGCAAATTGGTGCGCATGATTGATGGTGCGGCCGTGTATTGAACGAGTGAAAGTGTGACGCGGTACGCAAGGAAGTGACGTTTATGTGTGAATGCGTTATTGCCGTCTGATCTTGAGCGTCGGTGTGAAAGGACGTTTGTTCAATTTGTTGACTGGTATGACTCAAGATTTGTGAGATGTGAATGGAAATAAAGATTATAAAGAAGTCTAATACAAGAACAAAGTGAAGGAAGGAATTACTGAGTTTGTCTTATCTACAATTTGTCATCTAGTCATCTGGATGTGAAATAGCCTAATGGTTGCTTAGGGTTGTAACCTCAATCCGGTGGTGGTATTTCATACTTCATAGCATCGAATCAAGTGACACAAAGCTCTGGCATAGCACGACACATGAGCAGTCGTAACAACCTACCTAACATTTTCAAACTATATAATAACATTCAAACTTTGTAGCGAATTCAACTAACTGATTGTTCTTGATCTTGCTATTTGAAATAAAACTGCATCGATTTGACTAGAATTAAGTAGGCCCTAGCTATATAGTATATGTAAGAACAATTCATAAAACTAACGTTTGATATTTAAAAGTTTAATGATAAAAGAAAAGAAAATGTTTTTTTGAGTTATTTTACATAAGGAAATGTGAAACCACAGTACAAGGCATGTCAGCTGACGTTAGAATTGATGCTTATCTTAGACATAGAGATGTTTAAATTTAAAGTCATATTTCAGCTGTGGGTACTTTTATGTCTGGATAACTGTTTGTCATGTGTAAAACATTGACCACATTTATCACACTTGTAAGGCTTTTCTCCTGTATGAATTCTAGCGTGTCTCTTTAAATCACTAAGCTGTGTAAAACATTGACCACATTTGTCACACTTGTAAGGCTTTTCTCCTGTATGAATTCTATGGTGTCCCTTTAAGTGTCCAAGTCTTGCAAAACATGTACCACATTTGTCACACTTGTAAGGCTTTTCTCCTGTATGAATTCTATGGTGTCTCTGTAAATCATTAAGCTGTGTAAAACATTTACCACATTTGTCACACTTGTAAGGCTTTTCTCCTGTATGAATTCTATGGTGTCCCTTTAAGTGTCCAAGCTCTGTAAAACATTTACCACATTTGTCACACTTGTAAGGCTTTTCTCCTGTATGAATTCTATGGTGTCCCTTTAAGTGTCCAAGTCTTGCAAAACATTTACCACATTTGTCACACTTGTAAGGCTTTTCTCCTGTATGAATTCTATGGTGTCCCTTTAAGTGTCCAAGCTGTGTAAAACATGTACCACATTTGTTACACTTGTAAGGCTTTTCTCCAATGTGAGTTATCTGGTTTTGATGTAAGTTTGATGACTGGGAAGAAGAATGTACAGTAGTGTCATCAATATGATCCAAACCCCTATTGGCAATGCCTTCACCTCCATGTCTGTATTTCAGGTGTGTATTCAAATAGGAAAGTTTTGAAAAGGCCACTCTGCAATGCTGACATGGATATATATCTGCAACAAATGTTTTTATAAAAATAACTGACAACTTTATCTAATACAGGAAAGACAGCTATACTTATATAAGGATTGCTAACAAAAAATACAGTTAACCTGACAATAAGTGTTAATATTTCATAAACGTTTACATTGTGAAGTGATTTATTTATAGTGATAATGTGAATAAAGATGATGACAACAGGGATATAAAAACAATGAAAATAATAATAAAGCTGGAGAGTGATGACTAAATGATACAGTGGCCAAAGTTATGACTGTCTGATACAGTGGACATAGTGATGACTGACTGATACAGTGGACACAGTAATGACTAAATGATACAGTTGACACAATGATGACTGACTGATACAGTGGACACAGTGATGACAGATACAGTGGACACAGTGATGAATGATACAGTGGACACAGTGATGACTGATACAGTGGACACAGTGATGACTGATACAGTGGACACAGTGATGACTGATACAGTGGACACAGTGATGACTGAATGATACAGTGGACACAGTGATGACTGATACAGTGGACACAGTGATGACTGATACAGTGGACACAGTGATGACTGAATGATACAGTGGACACAGTGATGACTGATACAGTGGACACACTGATGCCTAACTGATACAGTGGACAGAGATGACTGATACAGTGGACACAGAGATGAATGATACAGCAGATGCAGTGGTGACTGACTGATACAGTGGACACAGAGATGACTGAATGATACAGTGGACACAGTGATGACTGAATGATACAGTGGACTCAGTGATGACTGATACAGTGGACACAGTGATGACTAACTGACACATTGATGACTTATACAGTGAACACAGTTATGACTGATACAAAGGACACAGAAATGACTGACTGATACATTGATAACTGAATGATACATTAACGACCAATACAGTGGACACAGTGATGAGTAACCGACTCTTACATTGGACTCAGTGATGACAGCATAAATAGATTCAATGGACACATACATGACTAACTGAA